ATTTAATCACCAAATTGGAGAAGCAACAACCATAGTAATAATTCACATTTATATAGCCTCCAAAATGTTCTGAGATGCCTCGTTTTCGGGTTGCTTTGCAGATATCACAGTATTTCAGTAGACATTTGGAGTGATGTACATCTTGGTGCCCTATATACTCATGTACAAGTCAACTTTGTGTATAAATCAAGGGAAGGTTTGGGGGCTGTGGCACCAGCTGCATTAAATCACTACTGACGAAGAGGTCATGAGTTCAATGCCAGCCCAGGTTGGAGTAAGCTCCCGACCATTAATAGTCTAGCTATGCAGCCTGAAAGACAGTTGCATCTGTCAGGTAGGAAATTTAGGTACCGCTTTATGTGAGGAGGCTAATTTAACTAATTTACAACACCATAAAACCTTCCAGCAGCATGCAGAAGAATGAGGAAGTATACCATCAAGGACTCGGTGTCACAAGTGGACGGTGAAGCAGCAGCTCCCCCTGTGGCCAGAACCAAGCATACCCTCATGAAGTCGGAAAGCTGGAATGTTAAATTACCTCTGTGTCTGTCTATATATGTTGTATGTCTAATGGCATTGAATGTTTGCCATGTATACGTGCATTGTAATCCACTAGTCTAGCATGCTGTCGACCTATGCAGCCCAAATGACAGTTGCATCTGTCAAGTAGGAAATTTAGGTACTGCTTTATGTGGGGAGACTAATTTAACTAATTTACAACACCATAAAACCTTCCAGCAGCATGCAGAAGAATGAGGATGTACACCATCAAGGACTCAGTGCCGCAAGTGGAGGGTGAAGCAGCAGCTCCCCTTGTGGCCAGAACTAAGCATACCCTCATGAAGTCAGAAAGCTGGAATGTTAAATTGCCTCTATATATGTTGTATATCTAATGGCATTGAATGTTTGCCATGTATATGTGCATTGTAATCCGCCCTGAGTTCCCTGCGGGGTGAGAAGGGCGGAATATAAATACTGTAAATAAATAATAAATAAAAGTATGGATTTTGACATGATCTATGGATAAGTCAAGAGGCATTTCATGAAGAGGGGAAAGTGCCAATGCTGCCTTCTCACCCCTGGATGTTATTTCCCTGGGAATTCAAAAAGGCACTCAAAAGGGTCAAGGCAAAATACTTACACAGACCCATGGATAAGCCAACCTAGTTTTTGAGAGTCCAGTTGAGATGTTGTCCACGGAATGCCCAGATGTTTTAACATCCTGTGGGAAACTTCTCTCATGTCCCCGAATAAGAAGCTGGAGCTGACAGATGGGAGCTCACTCTGCTCCCTGGATTCGAACCACCTAGCTTTTGGTCAGCAGTCCTGCTGGCACAAGGATTTAACCCACTGCGTCACAAGGGACTCCGAAAAGGAGTATTATTGATTCTGATGGAAGCCAGCAGAAGTAAAGTAACAAACAAACCAACCAACATCACCATAGAAATCTCTCAGGTGCCACCTTACACTTGTGAATATTTGGCAGGCATTCCTCCTAGGAAGCTTTGCAAAAATGATTTCAGGATGAATACTTTGAATATGCCCGGGAACATAATCTAATAATAATTAATAATTATTATTTTTATTATTATTTAATAATTATTAAATCTAAGACACAGTGTATTCAGTGCTGGTCAGTAACTTATCCGCCTGTTTCACCATTTCCAGCCATTCCTCAAAGTCATTGTATTGTGCATTGATTCAACGTTGCTCGCTATCTATCCACTGAGGTTTGGTTCCAGAGAAAATTGCATTGCTTTCATTGTATACAATGGACTGCCATGGATACCACAATCCATGCTTCTTCTTCATCCAGGAAAGAAGTGACAAGTGGAGTGCCATCAGCAGGCTTCCGTCCTGGACCTGGTTCTGTTCCACATCTTAATTAATGATTTAGCCAAAGGGTTAGAAGGCGTGACCATCACATCTGCAGACAGGACCAAATTGGGAGGGAGGGCGAATACTCCAGACGACAGGAGCAGAATTTAAAACAATCTTAAGAGATTAGAGAGATGATTGGCCAAAATGAACACAGTGAAGTTCAACAGGGACAAATGCAAGATACTTCACTTAGGCAGAAAAAAATGAAATGCAAAGATACAGAATGGGGGACGATGCCTGGCTCGACATCAGGATGTGTGAAAAAGATCTTGGAGTCCTCGTGATCAGGAAGGCGAACATGAGCCAACAATGTCATGCAGTGGCAAAAAAAGCCAATGGGATTTTAACAATAAGAGTCTAGTGTCTAGACCCGGGGAAGTCATGCTACCTCTCTATTCTGCCTTGGTCAGATCACACCTGGAATACTATCCAATTGTGAGCACCGCAATTGATTCTAAGCTGGAATGTGTTCAGAGGAAGGCGACTCAAATGATCAAGGGTTTGAAGAACAAGCCTTATGAGGAGTGGCTTAAAGAATTGGGCATGTTTAGCCTGCAGAAGAGAAGGCTGAGAGGAGACATGATAGACATGTATAAGTATGTGAGGGGAAGTCATAGGAAGGAGGGAGCAGGCTTGTTTTCTGCTGCCCTGGAGACCAGGATGCGGAACAATGGCTTCAAACTACAGGAAAAGAGATTCTGAACATTAGGAAGAACTTCCTAACTGTGTGAGAGATCTGTTCAGCAGTGGAACTCTCTCTCTGCCCCAAAGTGTGGTGGAAGCTCCTTCATTGGAGGCTTTTAAGCAGAGGCTGGATGGCCATCTGCCGGGGATGCTTTCAACGTGATTTTCCTGCTTCTTGGCAGAATAGGGTTGGAGTGGTTGAACCTTAAGGTTTTTTCCAACTCTGGGATTCTTTTATTCTAATCCGTGGGTGTTCAAGTCCCATTATATGATGTGATATAATACAATGGGATCTATATAAATAAAAATGTAATGTTCGTTTGTGGGATCAACATAACTAAAAAACCACTGGGCGAATTGACACCAAATTTGGACACAATACACCTATCAGGCCAACGAGTGACCATCACTC